TGTCAGATGCTTCATATTATAGGGATATTATTATGGACATGACAAATTGTAAGACTGTGCAGCATATAATAGGTTTCCTATTTATGGATCATACACAATTGTCTTTTTTGCACGTTTAAGTATTGATTTTAATTTGCAGCGGTTTAGTATTGATACAAATACCTGTGAAGTACTGATTTTTAATCATGACTTTATTGTTTCAATAGTAACCAAGGGTGCAAAAGTGATGGAAAATCAACAGTGATTCAATATCAGCATCTGACATTGTTTCAATATTAACAGTGTTTGAAAATTTGACATTGAATCAATGTCAGCGTTGAACATTGATTCAATATCAAAACCTGACGTTTCAATATTTAAAAAAGGGTGCAAGAGTGACGTCAGGTCAATGTCAGATTTCAACGTTGATTCAGTGGAATCCCCTGATGTTGACTAAACATTGTTTCAATGTCTCCTTGCTATCTGGGAAGTCACTTAGATCTCTTCTAAATGTTAATGTTTGGTTTATTTCAGTGTTTGATTTGTTCCTGAGTAAATTGATTTGGCTGACATTAAAGTTATAGACTTTCGAGCGTTTTCCTTATAAAACGCCGTTTTCACCGTTTCTTCCTGCAGTAAATATAAACAACAACAGTATTCAGGAAGAAACAAACATTGCAGATATTTTTATCATAACTCTGGTTTTACGCGGCCGATCAACACAATTTAAAAGCTGGTATAAAGTCCACACTTTGTCCGTCAGTTGTTCCGTCTGTCCTGCTCACGTCTCCAATGGTTGTGCACGTTGTCATTAACGTGGCTTCACGCCACATCAGCCGCTTTGCTAAAACACCGGTGTCGCACATAAGGACGCTGTCAGAGCCTGTCAACCACGTTGATCAGCTGCGTATATACGAATGTGAATCACATCATTGGCTGGACTTTGGGACAAGGTGCATCGTTCTGATTCCATATGGGAGCAGCCAGTCACTGACTAACACTGCAGAACAGGATCGTTAACGTATTAATTTTAGGCTACGTCCACACGTACCCGGGTATTTTTGAAAACGCAGATTTTTCTATGCGTTTGCACCTTTCGTCCACACGTAAACGGCGTTTTAGGTCACTGAAAACTGAGATTTTTAAAAACTCCGGCCAGGGCGGATATTTTTGAAGACTCTGTTTTTACATTTACGTGTGGACGAGAAAAACTGAGAAAACGCAGCGTCAAAGGTGTGCGCCTTTTTTGACGTCACACTGTGCGCCACGTTATTGTTTCGGTGAAATGAATTTCTACAATACTGTTAATTCTACTCTCTGCAGTGTTTAAATGCTTACATATACACACAGTTACTGTCCCTCCACACATACGACTCGGTTCTGCTTCTATGCCCCAGCTTTGTTTACTTTTTCCCACCGAGGCTTCTAGACTTCTGATTGGCCAACATTTCTACACGGTTAGGAATCTAGCGCCACCTGCTGCTTTGGCATGTTCATAGCAGCGTTTTCCTTCATTTCTGCCTTTATGTGTGGACGGGATTATTTTTAAAACGAAAACGGAAAATCTCCGTTTTCAAAAATACGCGTGTACATGTGGACGTAGCCTTAATTTCAATTCAGGTGAGATTTTTTTTCTGTGCACAGAGACCGTGCCAGCAGTCTGCAACTGCGCACGCGCACAGCTTAGAGGGAACATTGCGTGATGCCTCGCCAGATGTTACGAAGGACTGAGCTTTACTTTCACTATGTCACTTCTGGAAACACGACACCATTAAATAAAAGCACAGACACATCACGTTTGCAACAATAATAAAGATGAGTCGTGTTATTAGTGCTGTAATGAATGTGAGCAACATCCATGTGATTCACTTTGAAGGAGCTGAGCGGGTTTGGGTCAGTGATGTTTCAGGAAGCAGAGGGCGCTCACAGACCTCACAGCAGTCAGTGGATGTTTCTGTACACTGCAGAGTAATCGAGTAATCCACGTCTGTTCACAGAGAGGCTCAGAGTCCGGCTGGGGCTCAAACCTGAGCACAGGACCACTTCTCTTAGTTTCACCTTCACAAACACAACATGTGAACTGCAGTCGACACAGTTTACTGCCCTAAACGCACTGATGCTGCTGCACAATCACACACAACCAGTGTGTGAATGTGTGTGTGGGTGGATGACTGAATGTGTAAAGCGCTTTGGGGTCCCTAGGGTAGTAAAGCACTACACAAATACAGGCCGTTTACCATTTACAACCATTAATCTGGAACATAACCTTCAGAGTCAACAGGAAGAAGTTTTATTGCAGCGGGTTGAGCTGTGAGTGTAACGGCTGCTGATACAAACTGAGTACATCAGCAGCTTCTGGATGAAATGAAAACAGTGATGAAGGTGTACGTGATGGAGCTCTTTACTTTGAACGCTCCGTCGCTATGAATTATGGGACGGCATTTCCTCCTCCCCTTCACAAAGGATGCTCCAGTGTCTCCTCTGCTGAAGGACGCACGGAAGCTTTGTGATCCCATTGGTCAGAAACTGTGCAGGTCAACAGGGGGCGCTCTGCTCACTGCTGTCCGTTCGTCCCCTCTGACGTCACAGTCACGTGACGGTTGAATGAAACATGGTTTAAACTGCTGACAGGAAGTTTACATCAACACTAATGATATATATAACCAACAGGATCCAATCAGAGGAGCTGATCAATAACATCACCAATCAGAATGATCACAGGATCAAACAGCTGTTTAATAATAATAATCACATGATCAATAATCAGACTGTCAGCTTTTAATCAGGTCAAATGAACATTTTCCTTCTTTGTCTTCATGACGATGATTAATAATAATTAATGATGAAGATCAGTGAAGAACACACTGCGGCTGATTCTCTCTCTCAGCCTGTCTACTAACATCTCATGATTCTCTCTCAGAAGGCGTCTCATCTCTTCTTCTCTGATGGCTCTCTCAGCCTGTCTGAACATCTCGTTGGTGTAGTAGCTTCCTCCGTTTCTCTGAACCATGGTGTTGATCTTCTCCAGCAGCTCTCTGACCTGAGCAGGATCTTTGTCTCTATTGTTAAAAACATGATATCTTCCACCACACAGACGGATGAAGTCACGGAGAGGTGGATTCACAGTGATAATTTCCTCTATGGTGATTCCAGCATCCTCCAGGTCGTCTCCACGGGTGAACAGGACCATGGTGTAACCTGCTACTTCTTCTCCAAACATCTGCTGAATGATTCTCACTGTTTCTTTTTCTTCTATAGTGAATCTGCCAATCTGGATCACAACCAGGATCACATGAGGACCAGGAGCAGCCAAGGAGACAAATTTAGCGATCGCTGTCTTACTGTCCTCTTGACTTCTACGGGTGTCAAACAGAGGTGGAGTATCAATCACAGCCAGGGTCTGACCGTCAAACAGACCTGTTTCTTTCTCACACTCTGATGTTACTGAGGAAACAGATAGTGCAGATCTAAAGACTTCCCTCCCTAAGATGGTGTTTCCTGATGCACTCTTCCCAACTCCTGTTTTTCCCACCAGCACCATCCTGAGTTCATCTCCACCTGTAGGAGAAAATCAGAGCGTCATGAGTGAAAGTGTTTCCTGCAGTTTGTCTGCAGCTCACAGCCTGAGAACAAACTGACACTGGTCATGTGACCTCAGCAGCAGCTCTGACATTATCTGTGATGGAGAGCTGCAGCTGCTCTCAGCACAGGGAGGTCCAACATAAGGCCCGGGGCCCACAACTGGCCCATCAAAGACTCCACCGGACCCACTGGACATCTTTGAAAATGTAAAGGAGGCCAAACATTTAGCAACTTCCACAGGATTGTATTATTTGACAGCTTCTCTGATACAGACTCCCACACCACCACCAGAGCAGCGTTTCTTTGTAATGTTATGTTGATTAAATGAGTAGTTGAACTTACAGAGAGTGCTGTATGTAGCCCTCAGTGTAAATTCACTTTGACATGCCTGGTGTGGCACCATCAGCTTTCTGACAGAGTGCAAATCCAGCTGTGAGCAGCTGTTTGCCCACACTCAGCACAGACGTGCCCACAGCAGCATCTGTCTCATGGAGGTCAGCTCTTACCTGTGGGGAGGTGTCCCGCCTTCAGCAGCAGCTCTCTCACTTGTTCCCGTCCTTCATCTTTGTTGTTGAACAGGTGAGTTCTCTGTGAAAACCTTTTTACAACATCTGGAAGTGAACTTGTTCTGTTCTGTAAAACATAATCGTCCACTGATGTCTTGAGTTCATCTCCACCCGTGAACAGCAGGTAACATTTCTCCAGCCTGTGAGGCCCGACCGCTCTGGTCGCTGCTTCCACGGCCCTGTGGTCCTCCTCGGTGAACCGACCCACTCTGATCACCAGCAGGAAGAGAACAGGTCTGACAGACTGCAGGACACACTGACAGAAGGTCTGGACCTGCTGCTCTGATCCTAATATCTCTGGAGTGTCGATCACCGAGACCTGCTTCCCAAACACAGTTCCCGTTTCCACACAGATGAGTTTGGTCACTGGTCTGAGGGACAGTTTGGACTCAAACGCTGCTTGTCCTAGGATGGTGTTTCCTGAAGAACTTTTACCAACTCCAACTTTTCCCAGGAGGACGATGGAGAGATGATCATCCATGGCTGAACGTCAGAGACCTGCAGGAGAGAGCACAGGTGTGGTGACTGTGGTGGTGCATCACCATATTACTCTGTGCAAGTCTGCCTGTTGTGCTATACCACATAGTACAGATAATAATTAAAGAGGTTTAAATAAAAGTAGAAACATACAACAGAAATATGACCTGACATTATCCACACCTACTGGCTGAGGAACTAACAGCAGATACCCATCCAGACTGGCTAACGCAGGGCAGAACGATGCTGATCGTGACGGGTATATCTCCTAGTAGTGGTGCAACGGAAAAGAAGAAAAAAAGTATGTGTATGGTGGCGTGGTCAGTCTGTCAAGTGATAGTTATGGTCAGCGCTAGCGGTCCAAGTGGAGGAGCAGAGGAGTTTGCGGTATTTAAGCAGCCCTTTGCTGCCCGATCCGACCGGGCTGAAGCTATTACAAAAGCTGTTGGGGTGTTAGCTGCAGACGGGAGGTCGTGTGCAAAACAAGCGGTTTAAACTATGATGAACATGCTTGTGCCACGCTATGATATCCTGTTGTGCGTCCACTTTAGTGGCAAGATCGTAGGGCTGGGTATTGTCACTGATTTCTAGAATCGATTAGTTTCCGATTCACAAGGTCCCGAATCGATTCGATTCGAATCTGGGAAATTTTGACAGTCAGAAATATAATTCAGATCAGTACATTTACATATTTTTGTATCAATAAAAAGGAAGCTGACACACTCAAGACTTTATCACAGGTGTGAGCATCACAGCAGAGGCCTTTGTGTCAAAGTAGCTGAAGATAAAACAGAAAAACATGAAGGAGATTTTCCTGTTCTGGATTTTATAAAAATATTCTGCAGTACATCAAAAACGAAAGAAAACAATTAATCAACACCTGAACATCACCTGAACAACGCTTTCAAATCCGGGGACCAGGAGGCATACAGTGCTGCCAGGGCCAACCTGAGAAGAGGCATCAAGACTGCCAAGCAGCAGCACAGGAGGCGTATCGAGGCCAGGTTTGAGAACAACACAAACCCAAGGCAGGTCTGGGAGGGCATCAGGGCTATCACGGACTACAAAAGGAGAACACCATCA